TCTCTTACTGAGAGATTATGCTTGTTTCTTTGTTTGACACAGACGTTATGCCTGCAGTGTATTTGTATATCTAGTTTGGAGTGTTTGGTTAGATCTTATGTCCTGTGCCGTCTTTTGTCCTTGTTGAAGCCTGAGTGGTGCCGGAATGAGTCCTGAAACTCTGCAGCATGTCAGCATTTTACCACTTCTGGTTCATGAGTTTAGAGTTGACCATTTTTTTAAGGTTAGATGCCTAAAATAAGGTATGTGGTTAACACAAAATGACTTGCACATTTTGTTCTACGACAAAAAAAGATGTCGGTAAACAACCCATTTGGGAATGTCCTTGGCTTCTATGAGTCTTGAAAACGATGATTGCTAACAAGTGACTAAATGACAGAGGTGGGACCAAGTCATTGTTTTGCAAGTCCGAGTCAAGTCTCAAGTCTTTGCGCTCAAGTCCAAGTCAAGTCTCAAGTCAGGATGGGCAAGTTCAAGTCAAGTCAAGTCCTAAACTTTGACAAAATGAGTCATAAACAAGTCATTATGTGTTTTTCACCAAATGTAATGACATCATCAACAGAATAATACTTAATAATCAAACTGCTCTTTATTAGTCACATTAATAATTTAATAATCCATTTTCTCTCTGCTGGTAAAGTAACGTGTTTTTTTCTAATTTAAGAGGGATCAGTAAGGTAAGGCTACCGTGACAGTTTGATTCAGAAGGAGTTTAATGTATAAGATCCCTGATGTTGAGGTAACCAGAATGTTTATTTCCACTGTGTACAACATGTTATAAGGGACCCACAAGCTATCTTTATGCAAGGGATCATGTGCAGCGAGGCGGTCTCTATGGGGAAAAGAACACCTGAATCTAGATCCCTCTGCAGGTGGTACTTTAACTATGTGTTGATGCTAATACTTTTCTACTTTTACTTGTAACATTTTGAATTCAGGACTTTTTATTGTACAGGGTTCCTGCAGGTTTCGCCAACTCAAATTTAAGACTTTTTAACACCTTTTTAAGACCACTTTGAATAGAATTTAAGACCTATTTCACGGCAATAAAGTATGAAGGAAAATGTATATAAAGAAGAAATACGTCCCATAATCACTTACAAAGTAAATGTATTCATGTTCAACATAAGAACAATGACTGAACACAACAGCGTAACAGTACAGAACTGTGTTAGCGTGTTAGACAAAAAGTGTGTTTGTCTGTGTGTGCTTGAGTGTGTGTGTGTGTGTGTGTGTGTGTGTTAGGGCTGTGCAATTAATCATATTTTAAATCGCAATTACGATTTTGGCCTGCCACAATTACGAAAACAACATAATAGAAACAAATTATTATTTTGCTTTGCTAGGTTGTGACAGTGCACTACAACATATTTGCTCTAATTAATTTTTTAGTAATGTATCATTTAATTAATTTTTGTATTGGTTTTTCCGTTGAATTATACGTTCAGGGTAATCAACAGTTAAAAAGATACTGTTCAAATTATTATTTGTTTTAAAGTTCAATAAATGGATGTTTTCAAAGTCAATGAATAATCATATTTAATAATCGTGATATTAATTATTGACCAACATAATCTTGATTATTGCCATAATCGAGCAGCCCTATTGTGTGTGTGTGTGTGTGTGTGTGTGTGTGTGTGTGTGTGTGTGTGTGTGTGTGTGTGTGTGTGTGTGTGTGTGTGTGTGTGTGTGTGTGTGTGTGTGTGTGTGTGTGTGTGTGTGTGTGTGTGTGGTGTGTGGTGTGTGTGTGTGTGTGTGTGTGTGTGTGTGGTGTGTGTGTGTGTGTGTGTGTGTGTGTGTGTGTGTGTGTGTGTGTGTGTGTGTGTGTGTGTGTGTGTGTGTGTGTGTGGTGTGGTGTGTGTGTGTGTGTGTAGGTGTGTGTGTGTTTGTGTGGTGTGTGTGTGGTGTGTGTGTGTGTGTGTGTGTTGTGTGTGTTGTGTGGGTGTGTGTGTGTGTGGTGTGTGGTGGTGTAGTGTGTGTGTGTGTGTGGTGCTGGTGTGGGTGT